ATTCCCGCAATTGTCCTGCTTTGCGACGACTTTCGAAGAAGTCGTCGCTTGCCTTCACTTGCTCCCGCGGCAGTGGTCACTGCCGCGTCACGCAATACTTCGTCCCCGGCACGAGATCAATCTCGTGCTGTATTCCATTTTCCTGCGGAAGCTCCGTAGGGATCTCGTCCGGGAGCACGTCCCTGTGCTCTCGCAGAATCTCGTAATAGGGACTCGACTTCAGTGAGTCCCAACTCTGCTCCTCGAAGCGCTCCTTCTTCGAATAGGCACTGAGAGTATCTTCACTCTCAGTGGCGCTTCCAGTGAAAAGTTGCCTCAACTCTTCTGCTTCGCTTGTCATTCTTTCGCGGTTCGAAAGAATGCATGCTGTTCGATGCGTCCATCGTACAGGTCCTTTGCGAAGCGCTTCCAGCTCATGACTGGAAGCGAGATCAACTCCGGCGTGTCAGTCGGAGGGTCCTCCAACTCCATCTTCTCGTACTGATACCAGTACAGGCCCACGTCAAGACGTGCAACGTCTCGACGGCCACTGTTGGCACTTGTGTCTGACCGGCAGACACACCATGAAGAGTCTCGATCCCGGACCGAGACTTGCGCAGCGTCTTGTGCTTGCGCCGTCGCTTCTTCTTGTGAATCCCGAATTCACTTGCGTTTCGTCCAGGCCCGACCATAGACGAATGGTCCTTGATAGGGTTATTGTACCCGCGGGCACGCGTCATCAAGCCCGGCTCTATCGCGCCCTGCTTCGTGCAGTCCGGCTGCACGACAGCACGCAAGCTTGAGAGCTGGACGTTTGCAACCGTCCACACAGCTTGTCGCATCAACTCACGGAGTCGATGCATTGTCGTCACCTCTACGCCTTACGGCGGAGCAGTGTGTCGCAACTCCCAGGGCTGACACACCGTTGTCACCTCGACGCCTCACGGCGGGGAACTTTCTCGATTCTGATATAGAACGCGTGTCAACTCCCGGAGTCGACACGCTGTTGTCACCTCGACGCCTTACGACGGAGAATTTCTTAGAAGTGTCTGGTCCCTGACCAGACACTCTTTTACTGTCAAAGACTCCCGGAGTCGTTACAGCTCGCGCGCTCCACGACGCTGGATCGTCTTCTTCAGCACCAACATCTGGGACGGTGCCTGTTCCTGCGGTGCCGACGTCTGAGGCTGCGGTCGTCCTTGATCAAGGGGTAGATCATACGCCTGGCACCCTGTCGTCTGCCGACACCACTACTGGGCACTCTGCGATCTCGGTCGCGCTATAGTGCAGTCTGCTCCAACACCTGGACACATCTTCTGGTGGGCTTCCTCTCGCTAACTTCATGACGCCTGCCGAGGTATCTCCGGGGTTCCGACGCTTGCAGACACGGGCGTGGCTTTGGCTCCCGTCAGTGGGGATGTGCCGCCTGCATACAACGGTCCTGACGTTCATCTGGTTGGCATACCTGCGTCGGTTGCCGCACTGCGAAGTGGGGCCAGGGTGTATCCCGGGCACGGTGGCCTGGAGGTACTGCTGTGCTTCGAGAGTCTGGACGCCACGGATCTCCGAGACCTCGACAGACTCATGGGGGGAGACGTCGCTGACTGTCTGCCGTTCTTGCGTCCGCGCGTTGCGCCTGCTTCGCTTGCTGTAGAAGTGAGCTCCATAGCAGGTCACCGCGAATTGGCTGCGTTTTTGGGCCAATTTCC